GTGCTAGTCGATGGCCCCCTCCATGAGGCCACCACAGCTCAGCAGAACATCGTTGTAGCTTCTTCTGGGGAGAAAAACACTTAGAGAGAAAATAAAGTTAACAGCTGAAATAGCAGGAAATAATACAGTTAAAGAGCAGATAGTAGAAGAAAGTAGTCGAGTGTGGACAGTGGTCAGTGTGTCCTCCAGCAGTCTAAGCCTATAGCAGCATAACTACAGAGATAACTCTGGATAATCTATCCTATTTAGATGTAGGCATGTTGGAGGCAGGGCAAGGGAGAGCCGTCTTTACCGACTGTACACTCCACCTCCCTCTACTCCCCCACTTGTCCAGATTTAGGCTAACATCAGATTTTAACCATAGGCCCTATCAAATAAAAATGTTTTAAGCCTATTCTTAAAAGTAGACAAAGTGTCTGCCTCACGGACTAAAGCTGGGAGCTGGTTCCACAGGAGAGGAGCCTGATAGCTAAAAGATCTGCCTCCCATCCTAAGTTTAGATAGTCTGGGAACCACCAGTAAACCTGCAGTCTGAGAGCGAAGTGCTCGGTTAGGAACGTATGGAACAATCAGATCACTGATGTATGATGGAGCTTGATTATTAAGAGCTTTATATGTGAGAAGAAGGATCTTAAAGTCTATTCTGAATTTAACAGGTAGCCAATGTAGGGAAGCTAAGACAGGAGAGATATGATCTCTCTTTTTAATTCTCATCAGAACTCTAGCTGCAGCATTTTGGACAAGCTGAAGACTTTTAACTACATTCTGTGGACTTCCTGAGAGTAATGGATTACAGTAATCCAGTCTTGATGTAATAAATGCATGAACTAGTTTTTCAGCATCACTCCTGGAAAGGATGCTTCTAATCTTAGCAATATTCCAAAGGTGGAAAAAGAAAATCCTACAAACCTGTTTAACCTGGGATTTGAATGACATGTCCTGGTCAAAGATAACACCAAGGTTCCTTACTTTGTTCTCGGAGATTAATGTAATGCCATTCAGGTCAGGCGATTGGCTGAGCAATTTCCTTTTCTGGATTTCTGGTCCAAAGATGAGAACTTCCGTCTTGTCTTGATTTAAAAGCAAAAAGTTTAGAGTCATCCAATTTTTTATGTCCTCAAGACAAGCCTGTAATCTACCCAACCGATTAGGTTCATCAGGGTTAATGGATAAATATAGCTGAGTATCGTCAGCATAACAGTGGAAGTTTATCCCATGCTGTCTAATGATTTTACCAATTGGGAGCATATATATAGTAAAAAACAAACAAACAGTGAAATCTAAAAGGTAGCAGCTCTGACACCATCTGCACCAGAACATGTGATCATATTACTGCTGGTCTACATCTTCCATCTTTTAGTTCTTTTTAAAACACAGAAAGGTTTTATTTACCTGCAACGTTTCGTTTGTGGCTGCAAACTTCCTCAGGCTGACGCTGATGGTGGCGTCACTTCCTTCTCCGTTTATCCGCGGGCAGCAGAGGACGTTGTCGCCCTCTACTGCCCGCTCTCCCCTCTCCGACGATGCAGTCCCATGCGTGGTCCAGCGTGTAAACTCCATCGTCCCTGTTCATGGTCCCACATCCACGTCTCCTTATCTCGACAGCTTCCATGATCCATCTTTTGTATTTCTGTTGTTCGGTGGTTATGATCCGTGTGCTGTCCCAGTCCATTACATGGTTTTCTCTTGTGCAGTGATCTGTTACAGCTGACTTCTTTATTGTGCTTTCTGCTTCTTCTTTTGCTGCTCTTGTGTGTCTTCGACTTGTTTCTTTCTCGCACTCCTTTCTGTGTTCTATTGTCCGTGTGTTGAGTTGGCGTCCGGGTTCTCCTATGTATGTTTTATTGCAGAGTTTGCATGGGATTTCGTAGATGACTCCACATTTAAGTCCAGCTGGTATCTTGTCTTTTGGGTGTACTAGTCTGTTTCTAACTGTTGTGTATGGCTTTGTTGGTGTGTTTATGTTGTTTTTTCATTGTTGCTCTTGTTTTTTCTGTTATGCCTCTGATGTATGGTAGGGTTATCACTGGTTCTGGTTCTTGTCTTTCTGGGTTTCTGGTTCTTTGCTTTGGTTGTTCTTTTCTTTCTGTTGTTGTTTGTTGTTTTCCTTTGTTTATTGCCCATGTCGGGTATCTGCAGGTCTTTAAAGCGTGTTGTATGTGTTTGTCCTCTTGTTTACGGTCTCTCTCTTCTGTTACCATGTTTGCTCGGTGATATAATGTTCTGATTACTGACATGTTGTGTATGGTGGGGTGTTCTGATGTCCATAATAGATATTGGTCTGTGTGTGTTGGTTTCCTGTATGTGTTTATGTTTAGGGTCCCGTCGGTCTGCCTGCTTATGTTCATGTCCATAAATGCTATGCTGCCTTCTGTTTCTGACTCATAAGTGAACTTTATGCTGCCCGTGTCGTCCATGTTATTCAAGTGTTGTGTTAGTGTTTCTGTTTGTCCTGTTGGTATGATTTCCACTATGTCATCCACGTAGTGTTTCCTTAGTTTTATTTTGCTGTGTGTGTGTGTGTGTGTGTGGGGGGGGGGGGGGCAGTGGCTATGGCTTTGCGATAGAACACAGAAAGGAGTGCGAGAAAGAGGCAAGTAGAAAACACACAAGAGCAGCAAAAGAAGAAGCAGAAAGCACAATAAAGAAGTCAGCCGTAACAGATCACTGCACAAGAGAAAACCATATAATGGACTGGGACAGCACACGGATCATAACCACTGAACAACAAAAATACAAAAGATGGATAAAAGAAGCTGTCGAGATAAGGAGACGTGGATGTGGGACCATGAACAGAGATGATGGAGTTTACACGCTGGACCACGCATGGGACTGCATCGTCGGAGAGGGGAGAGCGGGCAGCAGAGGGCGACAACGTCCTCTGCTGCCCGCGGATAAACGGAGAAGGAAGTGACGCCACCATCAGCGTCAGCCTGAAGAAGTTTGCAGCTGCAGACGAAACGTTGCAGGTAAATAAAACCTTTCTGTGTTTTAAAAAGAACTAAAAGATGGAATTAGAATTTCAACACAGCAAGAACACACCAAAGATGGTCTACATGTTTCTAGGTCCTGGGTTGTTTCTGCAGCCAGCTGCAGAAGAGTTGATGAGTCTGACTTGTTCTGGAGTCTACCTGCTGGCAGGGGTCAACCTGTCCATGTGCTGGGTGGGTGGAGTCTGTCATGATGCCGAAAGCCCCGCCCCTGCTGCTGAGAGACCAGCTGGTGGTTCTCTGTTGTCCAGAACCATCTGAGTAGAAGAAGATAAAGACAGAGCACAGCAAGCAGGTTTAGTAACCCAGTGCCTCAAAACAATAGTAGCAGGATATTATTATATTATCATCAACATGTCACCTAAATCCTGCACAGAATGTAAAAACGAACCAGACATGGAGAAAAAAAGAGGGAAAATGGCTGCAAGGTCAGTAAATTTCTAATCCTTCCTTCCGGAGGAAAAAACCACCGTAAATCTGGTCATGTGGTAAGTAGCAGCTTCGCTAGGAGGGAGGAGATCATGTGGTGACATCACATATGCGAGGTGCCAAGGTCTGATTTGTAGTCGTGCTACTTACAAACTTTTACAAGCTGATAAATCTCAAAGTACATGACTGGCGTGGTCGAAACACCCATCATTAGTTTTCATTTAAATAGCAGCACAACATATGTGTGGTCCAGGGCATAAGGCAAAGTGGATTAGAAACTAGCGTTTTTAGCCCCGCTGACTGGCTTTGATTTTTTCGTTTTTTTCGGGGACTCGTGAACCGACCAAAAAGGGAGGAGACTTAGGCCCCCTATACTTTTACTAGAAGGTGGTGTATGGTGTCGCATCTAAATACATGCAGGCAGAAAAACGTTCTCACTCTCCATCAGATAACTTAGTTCTGGGGAAAAAGAGTTCAACTAATTGATTCTGGTAAAATTGGGGTAATAAACAACACCAGATGTGTTTTCAGTAAATAAATCCTAAACAAAATGTATTTTATGTCACAAACTCATATTTTTAATAGAAGTAGGTGTGTGGTGTCGCATCGAAATGGGTCTGGGCTGAAAACAATTCTCACTCTTTCTGTTTGTAAATCACTTTGGTCAAGCATGAACTCACCACAACTTGGTGCTCAACAGCTAAATGCAGGATGGCTGAAAGAAGACAGTGAGACATCTGTCTTATCCTCAGATCGTTGGAGGTATGCTTCCTGTTTAACACTTAGCTTAAAAGCGCCCCCTGCTGTACGGACATGCAAATTGCTCTCAGGTCACAACACCTTTTCTGCCTGAGACAAGTGGTGCAAAACAGGGCAGCGTGAAAAAAGAAAGTGTAGCATGAAAATCAGCATTTATGACTCACATCAGTAGTTTTGTGCAGTTGCATTCACTCATTTGTTAGAAAATGACAGAACCATGTCTGAGGGAAGATGTTTGAATTCTCCAGATGTGCTGGACTAAGTGGGGCTAAAGTATTAGAGCAGGGATTCCACACTCAGTCACTTGCAGGAATGCATGTGTGTACCTGCCATGAAGCATGTGTGAAGTGTGACAGAAGGTTTGTGTTTGTGAGTGACTAACACAAATGATAATGCACCAAATGCACCTCCACAAAGGGCCAGGTGTTCCAGCGAGTGTTGAAATGACAAAAAGAGAAACCAGCGTCATGTTTGATAAGTTCAGGGAACCATGGTGACGTGTTTAACGCGCAGGGCGGAGATGAGAGCAGATGCAGCAGCCTGGCTGTGAGAGAGGCTTTAGAACACTTCTCTGCATCTCCTGTAATGAGTTGGACCTAAAAGATTGATGGATCCCCTGCAACCTGTGCGCATGGCACGCATCAGACCAGCATCGAGTCGACGGCGGTGTTGTGGCTAATTAGTGACGTTTTAAAGACGGTCCTGGTCGAACCTACCAATGGTACGAGTCGGTCCTACTCTGCTGGGACCGATTGCAATGAATGGGTGTCGGTGCTCTGCACGGCAAAGGAGCAACGAGCGCGCGACGAGGCGATCAGGGGGATGCGGCATCGGTGCGCGGGAGCTGTCCATCAGCAACACATCCTCTACGGAAACAGCGAGCAGAACCGAGACCAAGTCACTCCCGTTTTCAGCTTACCGCCCCCGCCCTCTTCTCAGCACCGAGTCCGCACGTCGACCGCCACACAGCTCCGGGAGCTGCCGTGTCTGAGCCAGCCCTCTCGGAGACCTGTTCCCAGCGACGACCCGCTGCCGTTGGAGAGCTACGACACCAGCCGGCGACCTTCAAGCAGAGGCAGCGAACCCAGCGCCGGGCAGCCGGCGCACCTGCAGGATCCGTGGGCCCCGGTCGGCTCTCAGCCGCCGCTGCAGTCAGAGGGGGAGCCTGTTTTTCCGAGCTGCCACTGCAGCTTTTCACAGCAAGAGGCGAGCTTCTCTCTAACCCAGTCCTACCCTGACCACCTGCTCCCACCGCAGCCCTCCCCACCTTTGCCTCCGCCTATTCCGCCGCCACCGGCGTCGACCGCCTCCTTCCTGCGCTCCTCCCGGGGACCTAAAAGCGGAGATCGCCTCCGAAGGAGTGCCAATAATTACCAACAAGCGAGCATTGTGGAACGCTGCAGGGGGGGAGGAGAAGCCGGAGAGCACCGAGACCACCGGCAGCTGTTGCAGCAGCAGCAGAGGGACCCCTCCCCTGAAGGAAGCCGTGGAAACTCACTTCAACGGCGCTCTTTAAATGCATGCGACTCATCCGAGACTCGAAGAGCGTTTGAGTCTGAGACTTGGGACCTGCAGCAGCAACAGATCCCACTGTTACGAGCGCAGCAGCAGCTACTGGTGGGAAACAGCCTGCCTGTCAACTACTGCGCCAGCGGCTCCGGAGAGCTATGTAGGACTCCCCGGGCTCCACCGCTGCAGCAGCAAGAGCGGCACGGAGCGCCAGGGCCCGGGCCCCCGCGTCAGCAGCAGCAGCTGCAGCACTGTGAACAGGACCGCAATAAGTGTGGGAAGATCGGTGCACACGGTGGCCAGGCGCAGCCGCAACGCCACGACTCCCGCGTAACCCCCCCGGCAACACCGCACGCGCATACTGGGACGTGGTCTACAGCTGGCAGCCGCAGCAGCAGAGACAGCCCCAACCGCGACTCCAGCTATCACCTGTGGCCCGAGAGCCCGCACAAGGGCGAGCAGAGGATCCGCATCGACCCCCATCAGGTGCGTGTCTGCTGCGCCTAATGCGCACATTCTCCACAATAACAAACCCGAACGTCAGTGGCCACGCCTGTCAGTGGAGCCTAAAAGAGCGCAATTCGCGCGTGCGCGCGGCTCTTCTGCGCTTATGTGTGGAGATGACTGGGCGGGCTTTGCTGCCTTTTATTTTCATCGGCTGATGTCACCAGCTGTGTGTGTGTGTGTGTGTGTGTGTGTGTGTGTGTGTGTGTGTGTGTGTGTAAGTGTGTGTCGTACCTGATATTTGATTCATTAACTTACACGAGCAGCGAACAAAAGCAGCTCGCGCATGCACACCTGTTCCTCGCGCTTGTTTCGGGAGCCGCTGATGATGCTTCCTGGTAGCGCGTGCAGCCTACATGAGACCGCGGTGAAGTTAGCCTGAAGTTGGACGTTCGACAGACATCGGTTTACACCACGGTCAGAGATGAGTCTTCACGCCGTGCACTGCGGCACAGACAGCGGGAACCTGGGTTCCGAGGACTCGCTAATGGGAACGGTGGTTCGCTTAGGGACTATCAACAAATTTGTAGTCCTTTGTAAACGAGTACAAAACGTTTAAAGCTTCCAGAATAATTTCCTAAATGACTCAAAATAACTTCTGACTTTGTTACTAAACTACATTTACAAGACACAACAGTGTTAACACATTTCACACAATCTGATATTTTTTATTAGGATAAATCAGTCTAAACACACAAAACCATTTCTCTATTGTGTTACTAAGCCACACTAATGAGACACCGCAGTTTATAACGCATTTCAGACAATCTGATCTTTTTTTAAAATCTCTTTATTAGTTTTCTGCAGTACAATATTGAAATAACATGGTACAAATAATACAGATATTGTTCAAATTTTTCCAGTAAGAGCGCCACAAGGATTGGTTTGTTGCACAACAAGAATGAGAACAGACAAAACAAAAATAGTACACTCATCTATCCCCCTATCTAATAGTGGAAGCAAAGACCAGCGGTTGAAATCTAACTTACATTTTTCAATGAGAGGACTGAAATTCTTTTCAAAAAGATGATCAAAGTTGGAGACAAACACTCCTAGGTACCTGAAGCCATCCTTAACAATCTTAAATGGGAAAGAAGAGGGTGATTAACACCTAGAAAGCTGGTTAATTGGGAGCAGCTCACTTTTCTCAAAATTTCATTTGAACCCGGAGTAGCTGCCAAACAAAGTTAAAATTTCTATAGTAACTGGTATAGATGAGGTAGGTAGAGATGAACAGTGTCAAATCGTCGGCATAGAGAGATAATTTATGGGTAATTTCATTTCTGTTAATGCCCTCCACCTCATTCTCCTGCCTGAGCCAAATGGCCAATGGTTCTAGTGCCAATGCAAATAACAGTGGGGAGAGGGGACATCCCTGTCTGGTCCCTCGGCCTACATTTAGAGGGGGTGATCTTTGGCCGTTTGTTAGAATGCAAGCAGTAGGGGAGTCATAAAGTAGTTTAATCCAGGCTATGAAAGCTGAACTGAAACCGAACTTAGCCAAAACTAAATACAAGGATCGCCATTCAACTCTATCGGAGGCTTTTTCCGCATCCAATGAGATGATACCTCCGGCGTACCAGATCCAGATGATCCAATAATATCAAAGACTCGTCTAGTATTAAATGATGAACTTCTTCCGGCCAAGAATCTGGTTTGATCAGCTGATATTATTTTTGGGAGAGCTTTCTGCAGGCGCGTCGCCAATACCTTGGCTAAAATGTTTTGGTCCACATTTAAAAGAGAAATAGGTTGGCAATTGCTGCAAATAAGAGGGTCTTTTTTTAAATATAAGAGAGATATTGGCTTCAGTTAGGGTCGGAGGCAATTTGCCCCTGCTGAAAGATTCGTTGTATACGTTTACGAGGTGTGGTAGAATAAGGTTTGGGAATTCTTTGTAGAACTCAACACTAAACCCGTTTGGGCGTAGGGCTTTTCCAGTTTGTGACTCCCCTATTGCTTCCTGAACCTCAGATAGCGTAATTGGTGTCCCAACCCATCTAGAAAATCTGTGATAGATTATCTTGTCTAGATGGGTTTTCCCAAACATCAATGGTTAATTCAGAGGTGTATAAGTTTACATAAAAATTATGAAATGAACTATTTATCAGTATTAGGTCAGCTGTTATTTCTCCAGAGGGCAATCCAATCCTGGGGATTACTCTTGAAAGAGCTGCCGCTCTGGCCTGATGCGCTAGCAGCTTACCTGCTTTATCTCCCATCTCAAAATAACGTTGTCTTGTTCTCAACAGCTGGGCTACAACTTTCGATGATAGAAGCTCAAATTCCATCTGATATTTCACACGTTGATCATATAAAATGGGTGAAGGAAGGACAGAGTATTGCGCGTCTATTTCCTTTAATTGATTTGAAAGCCAATTTATCCTCTCATTGTCTTGTTTTTTCTGTTGAGTTGAAAAAGGTGTCACTTGCCCTCGTAAATATGCTTTACAAGCCTCCCATGATGTACCTCTCGGAAAACTAGGAATGTCATTTAAAAGAAAAAAAACCTCTTAAGAACTTTAAGAAATTCTATATATTTTGTGTTCGCCATTATAAAATGGGACAGCCTCCACTTGCTACGACGTGGAGTACAATCAGGGAAGTTTAAATCTGTTGACGTGGGAGCATGGGGTGATGGTGGCACAGGAGTTAAGAGCTCGCCCCGTAATTGGAAGGTTGAAGGTTCGAGCCCCGCTCAGTCTGTCGCTGTCGTTGTGTCCTTGGGCAAGGCACTTAACCCACGTTGCCTGCTGGTGGTGGTCGGAGGGACCGGTGGCGCCTGTGCTCGGCAGCCTCGCCTCTGTCAGTGCGCCCCAGGGCTGTCTGTGATTGGCTGCTGGAGAGGCTGCTTTGCTTTGTAAGTTTGGAGTTGAGGCAGAGCAGAGAGAGATCTGCACGGAGACAGAAGAGCTTTGGTCTAAATTAAATGATTGTAAATACCACCACAGCGACTAATGATATGATTATAATAATAATAAAAAAAAAAATATATATATATATATATATAAATATAAATATACTAGGGTATATATACGGTATACTGGAATCATGCTCGGTTCAGTTAGAAAGATTTTCGGCTTATATTATTATTATTATTTAACATGTGAAGCGGCTCCAATAGCGAGCAGAGCCAGGTGTCACCACAGGCTGCTGATCTAACATGATGTCTTTAATTATTTCACAGGTTATTAGTGCAGCCATGAGTGTCACGCTCATACAGACACGTGTTGTGTTTGACTGTTGATGCTCCTGTTTTTATTTCTGCAGCGAGCCTTAAAAGCACCTGACACCGCCCAGAGTTTCTTCTGTAAAACTCGTATTAAACAAGGAGCTTCCTCCACGCCGTGTTTTTGTTGTAGGATGAAAACTTTACATCAGTTGTTCCAGGGCGAAGTTCAGCAGAAGGGAGGGAGGGGCGACGCAACGCTCCGTTGATCGTCTGTACGACGGAGATCGGGCTCATTACAGCGTCCATGCGGAAACTTCCCTAGGAACTTTCATATGCTGCACTTAAATCACACAAATAAAACTCATTTATAATGGTAAAAATAAACCGAAACGGTATGCGAGTGGACCGAACCGAAACGGTTCAACACCCTCTTGTGAACCGTTACACCCCTACTGAGCCAGATTAACGGCAAATTCACCAGCAAGTCTACCGTTTCTCCCGATTACCAGTTCGCCACTGCTAGCTACAAAGGTCACTAACACATGCACAATTTTAAAAATCACCTAAAGTATTAGGATGGCCTGCCATCCTTGTACCATAGACTTATGTGAGTTTAATTTTTTGCCAAACCAGACAGAGGCCCATTCCCTCTGGTGGTTAGGGATGTTGTCAAGCTGAAGAAAGAATCCTTTCGGGTCTTTTTGGCCTGTGATACTCCAGAGGCAGCTGGTGAGACCACTCCTGTATTACTTCCAATGAGATTCCTGTCCACCATCAGGCACCTCCGGAGGTGAAAGCAGTGCGCTACCAACACTATTTATAGTGGGGACAGTGAAAAACTAGTTCATGCATTTATTACATCAAGACTGGATTACTGTAATCCATTACTCTCAGGAAGTCCACAGAATGTAGTTAAAAGTCTTCAGCTTGTCCAAAATGCTGCAGCTAGAGTTCTGATGAGAATTAAAAAGAGAGATCATATCTCTCCTGTCTTTAGCCGGGCGTACACTGTGCGACTTTTTCACTTTTTTGAGCCGATTTTCCACTCGTGCGAGAATCCACGTCATCGGGGCGAGTTTTGCGCCGAGCGTCGTGTACAGGGGGTTACGAGAGGCAATTAACACCACGTGACCAGCTACCGATCAGCAATCGTGAGGTCGCACGGACTTCTGGAGTGTTTAATATTTTGCTCGTCCCTCGTGAGGGTATCGCACTGTTGAAGCGGCGCTGCGACCCAAAAAGTATCAGAACCGCTCACGGCGCATGCGCAATCCTTCATCAACACAGCTCGCCCGCTATTTCCCTAATAACACACGCTGTTCGTTTTTGTTTCTACACGTTTTTTTTACTCACAAAGATTGTCAAGAAAGCGTGTTTGTCGTGTTCATGTCAAATTAAACTGATCACAAAACACAGATTTACTTTCTTTATTTCGTTTTCCTCATCCAACCCCCATAAATCCCTGTGTGTCCTCCTGCAGCACTCCCGAAGGACAACAGGCAAAACAAGACAAAAAAGTCTGACGTGTTGAGTAAAAACTGCTATTTTTAGCATATTTTTAGGGCCGACGTGTTGCTACCAGACGTACAGTGTGAGCAGTCAGGTCGCATGCGAGAACTGGGTCGTGCAGTGTGAGCACATGACTCGTGAGATCTGCTCTGTGAGGAAGTCGTACAGTTTGAGCTGAAGCTGAACGCTGCGAGTGAAAAAGTCGCACAGTGGCCTCCCGGCTTTAGCTTCCCTACATTGGCTACCTGTTAAATTCAGAATAGATTTTAAGATCCTTCTTCTCACATATAAAGCTCTTAAT